TGTGGACTCGTATGTGCTCGAACGATCTGCAACAGTATTGATTGATCGATAAGTTCGAAAAAATTTTCTTTAGATGATGAGAATTTTTTGGAAATTCTCAAAAATTCCCGAAATTCCAATGATTTTTTTAAACGGAATGATCTGATATCATAAAATTGACGGCTTGGATTCGTTTCTTTCTTTTTTTTTAGTACAATCTCTACACTGGTGGCTTCCGCAGGCGGGTGGCCCCATTGTAATTTCTTATCAGTCGAAGTAGCGACGAGGAAAATATTTCCGGAAAATATTAATCACCATCTAGATAGATCTCTATCTAACATTCTCAACTGCGTATCTCATATTTGCCGAGTTGATGTGTTTTTTCCTCAAAAAATGTCCGCTATTTTCCATCTGATTAGTAATTTTTGCTTATTTTTTGAAGATGGAAACCAAAATTTCTCGATCGCAGTTAGTTGCTTCATCAGAACAACCACAAAAGTTTTATTAAGATTGCGAACGAGTTCCGTTACCAGTGTCGGATCGTCGAGTTTGAAGTGCACTCTCGAGACGTTGTTTATTCTCTTGATCCAGCAGATTCAAACGTCCTGAAAGTTGTCGTTGTTATTTATATGAAAACGGGACTATGAGATTGAAAATTTTTTAAAAAATTCTAAAATTCCTTATCATCCTCGATGCACTTTAACATCTTAGTCTGATTTCAACATTCAATTTGCTGCCGCAATAGTCCTGTTTCCTATCAAAAACAGTGAAATAAATCAAGTGTTAGCTACGGAATTTAGAAACTTGAGGCGATCGATCTCTCAGAAGGTGATCGATCACACTTCAGCCAATGTCACACTTGAATGAATTTCATCGGATGATTACGAGATCACTGATTTTGAATCTAGTTTGCACTTTGAATCGTGCGTAAGCACAGCGTCATTCAAATCATTTTGTATGTTCTGCGGTGATTGCATAATCCAGGTGAAGTTTTAAATTTCTGTTCGTTCATGAAATTCATGTCTTACACCCTATGTTGCTAAATGTTTTCATGTTTCTGGAGACTTTTTGCTTTGAAAAACTGCATTTTTTAATGGTGCAAGCAGTCTGGATTAAAGAAATTGCTTGTTTTCTTATTTAGACGGCTTTTGATTCGCACAAAATTTTGACAATACTCTTAGGATCATCACTTCAAGTGATCACTTTGCCACTTGTTTTACCTGCAGTGGAATTTTAGCCCTAGTGCGGCGCCCTTAATTGGATGGCAATTTGCCGCCGCTAATTATTTCGCGAACGTCCGCCGACGAAATCTCTATGGAGCAATTTCAGCTTCAGTTTCACTTACGTTTCAGTTCATCGATCTCGTGTTTGGCG